CAAGTTTGCCCCATCAGCCGGCGTCTTCATCCCCTTTGCCCTCTCATGGTACTTACCCAAGTGAAAAGACTCAGCCAAAAGACAGCCCTGAGCCAGCCTACACCCAGCCCTACACAGAAGCTCTCCAAGTGTTCCACCACCCCGTTCCCCAGCTAACGCTGCATGAAAAGCAGTTCATGTCCCCCCAGGTTTCCATCTTTCCCTCCCAGCATCTCCTGCCGCAGCCCGGGCAGTCCGCGGAGCTCTTCGCCGCGCACACCATGTCCGACATCCTCTCCGCTCAGTTCACCATGCCTCAGATCCCGCCTTCCATATTTCAGACGCCGCCGCTGCCTCTCCCTCAAACGCTCATCCACCCCGGCCCGCTGCACATCGCGCCGCCGCTCATGGCTCACCCCGCCGAGGCGCCCTTCAGGCAGCACCCCTCCTTCCTGCCGGTGCATTACCCCGGCTCCTCACCCATCCCCTCGGCCTTTTTTCTGCCTCTTCAGTCTCAGTTTGCTCTCCAGTTGCCAGGTGAAGCTGGTGGACATTTACCGCAGCTCAAATCCAGCTTATTCCCGGCAGCAGGGACCTCCAGTCTTTCCCCGTGCACGGAATACGACTCGGACAGCAGGTTGCATCCTCTGACCCGCACGACAAGCCCTTCGGTGTCTGTATCCGCGTCTCAGCTCGTTGTTCCTGCGCGGTCAGACCCGGTGGTCTCGCTGGTCGTCCCCGTTCGCATACAGACAAATATGCCGTCCTACGGCAGCGCCATGTACACCACGCTCTCCCAGATTCTGGTCACTCAGTCCCAGTGCAGTTCCTCTTCTCTCGTTCTCCCCAAATTTGACGATCGCCAAGCCAAGGGTACCCTGGTCTGCAGCGCCGATGTTCACGGGCTGGGTTTCGATCTGGCCCAGATGATCACAGAGGATCAAAGGAGCATTTTCCAGAGCCCGTATTTGAGAGTGCCCTTACCCTTACCAGAACGAAAAGGCTACATGCCCCTCACCTCCCCGTCAGACAGCATCCTCGGACTGGAAGGAGGCCCATCAACAGTCGGTGGAAGCAAAAGGATGCTCTCTCCAGCTGGTAGTTTGGAGCTGACGATGGAAACACAACAGCAGAAGAGAGTGAAAGAGGAGGAGGTGTCTGAAGCAGAAGAGACGTTGGAAGTGGTGAAGCCACCCAGTGCAATAGAGGAAGGGAAAAAGCAGGATAAATCTCACTTTCTTGCAGAAAGCCAAGGCAGGGTCGAGGTTGAAACACCACCTAGCTTGTCCGCAGAGCAGTCAGAGCCAAAGGAAACCCCGAGTACTTCGCCGCAAGCTGTGTCTCATTCAGGTTCTCCAAGTTTTGAGGCACTGGAAGAGTATAAGCAGCCAGCTGGCAAGCAGCTCCTCAGCAAGGCACCTTTGCAACCCGTGAAGAAAGAAGACTCCAAAGAACTGGTGGAGCAGTCTCCACCAAACCCTCCAAGCCCTGCACCTCAATCTGAGGTCGCTCGTAGTGCAATGAAGTCTCGAGAAGGTACAGATACGAAGAAGGTACTTCAGTTCCCCAGCCTCCACACAACCACTAATGTCAGTTGGTGCTATTTAAACTACATAAAGCCAAATCATATCCAGCAAGTCGATCGACGGTCGTCAGTGTATGCCAGCTGGTGTATCAGCTTGTATAATCCTAACCTTCCAGGTATATCCACTAAAGCAGCCCTGTCCCTCCTGAGGTCCAAGCAGAAGGTGAGCAAGGAAACCTACACCATGGCTACTGCTCCGCGTCCAGAGGCAGGCAGGCTTGTCCCGTCCAGCTCCAGGAAGCCAAAAATGACAGAGGTAATGCAATCCTATATATTTCTCCTCATCCATTTGGATACGTGGGAAGAGGGGGACGAGGGACGGGGCATTGCTATTCTTAGTTTAGTAGGGTTTTATTCATCCCTCTCTCAGTTGGGTAAGCGCTTGTTCTCAGTGAAACTTTTAGAATGAAGAAGCTAAAACCCACTGTAATAACAAAAAATCAAAAAACAAACAAAAAAACAAGGGCAGGCAAGCCTGCTCCAAGGCAATGTGCCATATTTCTGTTCTCCGGTTTCTACTTGCCTTTTAATCAAAAGAGCATGTAGGAATCACCACCGCACCATGAACTGCCACTGCTCAAGCACAAAGGATTAGACTTGATTTGCATTTGTCTTGATATTTCAAACAGCTTTACAACTTTTCTTTTTTTAATTATATATATATATATAAACGCTGTTATAATTCCCTACATTTTGCATGTTATAAGCGAAAAAAGGATTACCTTTGGGAAATGGGATTCTGTCTGGTTGGGCATCTACTGAGCTCACATTGATGAACACGGAGAGGCATGCTTAAAAGCATTTTAAAATATTAAAGGGAGATTTGCAAGTGTATTTAGCCCCCCCCAAAGAAGCGTAAAGGCATGCAGTGACATTTATAAAAGTGCCTCGGTAGGTTAGACTTGGAGTCTTGGCAAAACACCCGTGTCGTTTGGTCCGTGTAGTTAATGTCCTTAGCTGCCGACCTGCTTTTCCAGGTACCCTGAGGATATTTTATACTTGGTCTTTAGAGTTAAGGGGAGCAAAGCAACGGCCTCGCAGGGGCAGAGCTCGCCAAAGGCGTTGGCTGTGCGGGCACAGAAGCCTTTAAGACACTTCTGGTAGGTGCCTGGTGTTACGGATCTCGTTTTGAGGCCCCCTCTTGGTTAATGCTGAACCATACAGATCCCTTTAATCCAGATCATGTTCATGTAGATGAGCAAACAGAATTGCTCTGAGGATTTTCGCAATTTGATATTCATCTCGAGTCAATTTATATTGATGGATTATTCATTTTATTTCTGTATCATGAAATGAACTCTGACTATTAAATTTATCATAATCGCTGCTGCAGCTGCTGCTTATAAATATGTCTTAAAATACACAGTAGAGTCTCTTTGATCCAATAAATCTTTGTTTCTCTTCAGCATTTCCATCATTCTTCTGCAGGAATCCAAAAAGACAGGATTTCTAGGGATGTAGGGGGAGATGATAACCTGTGCAGTGCAATAACCACACTAATGCTTGATATTTATGCACTCTTTTTCAAAGGATTTTATCTGAGCAGTGTCGGTACCATTCTTGTTTTCACTCTCTAATAGAAGTGCCTGTGCTCCTCTGAGCCTTGCTCTTTGACTTGGTGCTAAAATGCACACCGAGTGTGTGTTTCAGAAATCCGAGACCCTCCTACCCTCCGGTTAAAGGTTAAGCTCTCGGCAGGAGTGGTTCAGCCCTGTAGTCAGCAAAATATGTATTTCACTGCATGCGTTTGCTCAGGAGACTCAGAAAACTTTTAGACAAAGCCCCATGAGCTGAAAAAAGTTCAGGTTTTCATCGCGCAATTTTGTAAAAGGCGGAGTTTGTCTTGCCAAATTCCCCTAGAAAATGGTGTAGCCTGAATTTAATATTAATACCCGCTGCTTGAAGGAGCGTGTTTTGCAGAAATTATGTTAATTTCGGGGGAGATAATTTGACCTCATGCCAAGCAGAGAAATCATTTCTGATGAGATGATCAGTGGGAGCGAAATCCTCCGATTGGTTTTTAAACATGACACAGATTAGGAAGTTGGTGGTTACGCAGGAAGATGCGATTAACAGGAGCCGCGTTAGAAGTAGCATCAGTCAGAGGTTGAAGGTTCATCCTTCAGTTAACTCTCCTCTAGCTGTTTCCCTTCGCTATTTTCTGCTTTATGTATCTATAAGTTGTCAGCCAACACGACGGAAAATGTAAACCAGCTCTCGTATTTTGTACAATGATGCATGCAGCGAGCTACCAGCAGCAGTAGTGCTGTATATACTGTCTGCGTCCTTGGCTTGGTTTTTAAATTGCCAGTGGGATTTACTGAGCAGACCCATTCTGAAGTGACTGTAGGCTTCGGTGTGCATGTAGGGATGGCTAATTGCACTGTATCGGGCTTGCAGACTTTGTAAATTAAAGAAGATTGTAAAAGGGGATAGCGGTGACTGTACGATTTTTGGCTCTCTCTGGTGCCTTTCATCTGTCTATGTTTTGTGCTTTCGAAAGTTGCAATAAATAAACCTCATGCTACATCTAGAAAGTCAATTGTTTTGTATTCCTCAGTAAATAAGAAGCTGAACTGGGAAGGTTATCACCAGCATTGTTACGAGGGGGAAGCTCCTAACAGGCAGTGAAGTCGTAATGGCCAAGGTTTAATTTTTGAAGGTGCTCAGTGTCTCCGGCCACTGATTTCCTCCGAGCACAGACATGCCCGTGCCCAGAGACGCCGGCTCGAGACGTTCCTACCATTAAATTGTTAAAATGGTTCCTGGCGCTGTTCTGTCCTGGGCTGATAGCCCTCTCCCAGCAGTTCCTGGGCACATTTAGGGAGACAGGCCAGGGCAGGGACCGTTCCCAGGAGGCATCTCGGAAGGGTGCGTGGGTCTGAAGGTGTGGATGTGGGCTCATCTGCGCGGGCTGGCTCCAAGGGCAAAGAGCAGTCCGGGGTGTGTTTAGTGCTCTCATCTGGGCTCCTGAAATTGCCCGGCAGATTTGAGATGTCTGACCTCAGATTTGCAAAGCTGCTTTTTAGCGAGTCTGTCCCTCCGATGGTGGTATCGGCAGCACGCCGCTCTGCAGGCTGGCTTGCATCCCGCTGGATTTTGCACGTCCCGGTTGGAGCTAGTCCCTCTCTGGCTTCCCATCTAACCATGGGAGACAGAGAGGCTCCTCTTGGGTGATTCATCCCCCACTCCCCGTAAGAGAACCGTCTAAGGTAGGGCAGG